CTGCTTCCCTTTTTAGGTTCATATTCATCTCTTCCATATTTGTATCTGAATGGCCATGCACAGATCGCCCATGAATGTAGTACCCAAAACATCTGTCTGACAATAGGAAAACTGAAATCTGCAACATGAGAAAAATAAAATGGAGCATTTTAGTATACATTCAGATAACAAGAATTCTACCCACTACTGCATTTTGTAAATGTATTATGTCATCACTCCTATGCTACAGAGCGTAAGCAATTGTATATTTGGAAAGCAGGATATGTCTTAACTTTGAAGCACCTTTGAAATTGTATGTGTGATCATGAGATGCTTCCTTGCATGAGGCTATGAGTAGGAACAACTTCTTTATTGGACTGGAATACAGTTCAAACTTAGCAACAACTACACTGGGTGGAACGACTTTCGTTAAATATTCAAATGACATTACACTGAGCATTAAAATAAGAAGAAAAGTGAAAATCTGCCCTTTGTTCTCTTTGGCTCACATCTAAATTTAGACACTTGAAAAACGGAATTCTGAATTTATCTCAGAATATCATCAAAAGCTTTCCTATGGATAGAACTTTTTTACAGGTCTACATCAGAAAATTATAAAGAAACCCATATGGGTTTTAGTAAAAAAATCAGAAGTTGTTCAAAAAAAGTACTTTGGGATATCAATTATTAGTATACTAACTATAGATATATTGACAGAGCACGTCTTTTCAAATATAATTTTGAAACATTTAAATATGAATAGCCTTTTTGAAGAAAGGCACTATGTGAAAGTATAAAATACTTACATTGCTCATGCAGCATAAATCAACAAACTGTCTGATCTTATCTTCGATAAATCTTTCATGAATGACAGAAAAATATATCACCTGTGAAAAATCAGATTTACTAATAAGTTAAAAAAAAATGTTTTTCTATTTTAGCCAATAAGATACAATGATTAAGATGTCAGACCAGGCTGGGGCAATACACACTTGTTTCACCTCCAGAAGGAAAGGCAAAATATAAATATAAATCTAACAACAATTAAATAGGTACTACCATGGGACTGGTTTGCAATTCCACAGTTTGCCAATTCCACAGTTAACAACCAACCTCTCTAATAATGACTTTCTCTCTCTTTCTACAACTAAGGAGGATTTGCACCTACGTACCAGAATCTGCTTTTCTTAATATTTTGTGATCATCCCTAAGTATGCATAAATTAAGAGCCATCTATTGGAAAACTCATTAATAATTAGTATATGTAACTTATTTGATTTTATTGGAAATAAAACATATTTACTGGTATTGAAATTAATTCCATAAAATGGAAATACAGTAGAAAAATACTAATATGTATTAAGCTGAAGTCTATGCAACTCAGTCTGACTATCATATTTAGTCTACATGAAAGAACATCACTGATAAGGCGGCCCTTTGTCCGTCAGTGATGTTCCTTTCTGTAGACTAAATATTAAGAAAAGCAGATTCTGGTACACAGGTGCAAATCCTCCTTGGTTGTGGAAAGAGAGAGAAAGTCACTATTCTCTCATTATGAGAGAGGTCAATGTAATTATAACAATTTGGTATATTATTGTTTGAGAGATATTTCCTATTTCCTATTATTGTTTGAAAGTAATAAATGTCCATCAAGCCACTCCTGAAGAAAAACTTGAGAAACTAGGTTAACAATTTATTGTAGGTATCTACATTATGCTGATGACTCATACACAATAAAATCATTTAATGAATGGGAATCATCTTATGGGAAGGTAGTCACAATAAAATGATTTTATAAAGTTTTACCTGAATTACAGCAATCAATAGCCAAAGTACAGTGGATATACCATATCTCAGAATGCGGCTCCAGGGTGCTATGTAACTTTCAGGATTTCTAGTTAGACCAGAAGATGAATCCATTAAGGCTAAATTTGAAAATCCTACAACCTGTAAAGGTAACAAACAAATTACAGTCATACCTCGGTATTCAACTGCTTCAAAACTCATCAAATTGGGTACTCAATGTGTTTTGAAGCAAAAATCTTGTCTGGGTACTTGATCTCTCTGTACTGGATAGGCAAAGTAGAACTTGCTGGCATCAGCTGCCTTGTGACTCACTACTCCTTCTGTCCAAAATAAAGGGTCATGTCGTAAGACATGATTTGCTCGGTACCCGTTTTTAATATTTGTTGTGCCCCTTGGAATGAACCCCAGATGGGTACCCACGTACCACTGTATGGATAAATTTTAAAAATATCTATTTACATTAACAAAGATTTTCTAACGAATGAAGGTGAATATACATGTCCCAGAATAATGCTGCAAGATCCAATCTGTGTTGGTCACTGAGACTAGAGTTTTAGTCTTCTGAGGTTTCAAACTTATGCTGGAGCCCATCTTCAGGGAACTTCTCTATAGCAGAGTGTGTGCTGTTCTGTGTGTGGTATTTATACAGTGCCTATTGTAGCTTTTTAGATGCTGATTAGGGTGTGTTGATGGCAGGCTTTTAAGTTTTCGGCTGTCTTTTGCTTGTGCTGCCCAGCCCTCACCTTCTAAGTACTTGATATGCTGGTGCTAAATCACCATTCCTGTTGATGGAGGAGGGGCCTGTTTCCCAGGTTTCAGTCACTTCCCTGGCTGTTTTTGTGCCTGCTTGTCCAATAAGCTTAGTAGCTGTAAAGTTGAATGTGTGCCCTTGTTCAGTGCAGTGTGAGGCTACGAATGAGTTTGGGTCTCCTCATCTGACTGCTCGCTTGTGTTCTTGTAATCCGGTGTTTAGCTTCTTCCCTCTCTGTCCTACATAGTCATAATCCATGCAAGGGATTCAGTAGATTACATGGGAAGTATCTCCCACCTCTAAGCGATCTTTACAATGCATAATTTGTCATTGTATGGTAGCCTCTGGGCAATGTGTGATGCTCACTTGTTCATCTTGTGATGAATGATTGTGGGTACACCGTGTTGACAGTGTCTGACAAGATGTCTGCACAACACAGTGGGAAGAGAAAGGAAACAAGATACAAGACCAACCACATGGCACATCCTGCCATACATCAAAAACATTTCGGAAGCTCTAGAACGCAGCTTCTGAGATCTACAAGTGGGCATCACACACCACCCAGCCAACAACGTAAAAGCCTGCCATCAACACACCCTAATCAGCACCTAAAAAGCCACATGCAACAGGCACCCTATAAAAACCACACACAGAACAGCACACACTCTGCTAGAGAGACGTTTCCTGAGGATGGGCTCCAGTACAAGTCCGAAAACTTAGAAGACAAAATCTCTGGTCCTTGACCCAGATTGTATCCTGCAAGATTTTCTAATTTGCCTAGATGACCACTTTCAATTTTTGAATATACTTCAGCGACCACAAAACAGCAAGTAATAGTTTCTCAATATCATTTTTTTCATTTAAATAATACTAGCCCTTGAGGTGAGTGTGGAGAACTTCTTTCTCCAGCTGTTACTTGATTTATTTATTTATTTATTTATTAATTTAATTTATATCCCGCCCTTCTCCTTACGGACTCAGGGCGGCTAACAACCAGATAAAACACTAATCCCCAAAAACTACAATTTAAAAACATAAGTAAAAACAAATATTAGTAATTTGGTCAAGTTAATATAAAATTGCTTTAAGACCCCATTAAAATTTTCCCCTAGGCCAGT